CCCCAAAACCCCAAAACCCCAAAACCCCAAAACCCCAAGGTTCTTAAAACTTTATAATAAAATGGATAGAAAAGATTAAATTAAAGAGTAAATTTAATACTTGAGGTAATCAACTAGAAAGACTATTATCTTTGGAATTAGTGGATCAGTTGCATCAATCAAAGCGAGAGATATATCTTTAGCACTTCTATAATAAGGGTATAATGTAGTTCTAATTCCTACCTAAAATTCAGTACATTTTATTGAGAAATCAGATTAAGCTTTCTCAGTCTCATAAATCTAATAAGAATACTAAATAGACTTTGTAAATTCAGATTTAAAGCCAGCATTTCTAATTCTCAAAGACGAAGATGAATGGACTTCTTGGACCAAAAGAGAGGATTTAGTCCTGCATATAGAATTAAGGAGAATAGCCTCACTTCTATTGATTGCACCATTATCAGCAAACACCTTAGCCAAACTAGCAAACGGACTTTGCGATAACTTGCTAATTTCGCTTTTTAGATGTTGGGATATCAAGGGTAGTAAGCCTGTTATTGTAGCACCTGCTATGAATACATATATGTTTGAGCATCCAATAACAGAGCATTAATTGAAGTTTTTAAATGAAGTTTTGAGAGTGAAAGTGTTAGAAACTTCCTATAAGAAATTGATGTGTGGAGATGAGGGTTTTGGAGCGATGCTTGAAATTCCTATTATCATAGAAGAAGTGGTTAAGAATTTAGATATTGAAGAGACTATTGCTTTTGACGAGAAATTTAACACTGAAAAGGAATTAATCACAGAGAATAAGGCTTGATTAATTATAAAGTTACTAAATTAAGATTAGTGAGCTAATTTTGAATATTCCCAATCAGTATTTTATTATCTTTAAATCATTCTTATTTCTTTTTAAGGATATACATAAAGTAGCCTAATCCATGATCGATATTCTTTTAAGAGAATTCCCAGTTAAATTAAGAGTCAAGCAAGAACTTCTTTCTAAAGTGTGGTTAATCAAAAGAAATTTGGATGAACATTCCGTCCTTTTTCAAGACTCTGAAAACATTTTAGAGCGTCTTTATAGCTCTCTCAGATACTTCTTCACTTGGATTCCATGGATCCTAATTGTCAGTCATGACTACATCCATTGTGGCCTTATCAATAACAACATCAAAAGTCCCATCCTCATAAGTCATATTCATCATGTCCATAGTCTCCCATCTAAGTTCACTACATTCACCACCTTCACTGTACTTATCCTTCATTTTTTAAATTACACTCTCAGCATAATCTATATTATCAATATTATGGTAGCCATCTGCCCATAAGTCATAGCCTAAAGAGGAGTTTCCGCAACCTATGATTAGCATTCTGTGCATTTTATCCTCAGGAAGAGCTTCTTAGAATTACTGCTTGCAATCTTTGTAGCTTACAAGCCACTCATAATGATCTTCCTTTGTAAATCTTTCATTCCAGTATTCTTGTTTCTATTGTTAAAAATATAATCATTACAACTATTGTATTTTTATCTTACCAAGTACTCAGCGTTTTCTTTTGGTTCCATGTTTAGCTTAATAATAAATAGTATAATAAATAATAATAAATTCTTCCATTCATATAATAACTATACTATATATTAGTTGATCTATGTAAATAATAATAACAGTTGTTAATTAAACTGCACGGGGTTTTGGGGTTTTGGGG